GAAACTGCAACATTGCAGCAAGAATACAGAATGCAGCAATTCTTCCTGGTTTGCAGTGGTCATATATTCTAATTGAAAACTTGAACTGAAAAATTGCTAAAATTCATGAGATTTTTCAAATGTAAAAAAAATATATTTTTAATTTAAAATAATGAAAATAGAAATTTTAAAAGTACATGTACAGTAACATTTAGTACAGTAACATTTTAAACTTGTTTTAATATTTTGATATTTTTCTATGACATATTCCAAGACCAAGTATTTAATATTTTGAAGTATTATTTATTGTACTTACAAGTTAGACATAATGGTTTTTTTATACAGGAGCATTTGAATAAGGATTCTATGAATATTTTTCTAACCAAACTTTTTATTATGAACTTTATTAATTAATTAATGTTTCAAAATATTAAATTATCCATGTACATGTTACTTAATTAATTGTTTTGTTCTATTACTAATCACTTGAATATGAAATGAAGTTCAAATAAAACTCATTTTCTCATAATTTTACACAAACATAATCTTATAAATAGATTTGAAAACTGTTGTAATAATCATTTTCTTTCTCAGAGCATTATCTTGATAAGTATCTTGAAGAATTTGATAAGTATCATAAGTAATGTAATCAAAATGGAAAATTTCACTTTTTTTATTGGAGTAAGTGTAATACTTTTCATTAGAAAACTTATCATTAAGGGCTGGATATACTGCACATGCATTTAAAATTGCAATATGTGCACATATGTATGCAAGTAAAAAACCAGATATATGCACTGCTGTAGGCATATTAAAATACCTGAAATATGCAAAAAAGATTACTGTACATATAGCAAAAACAGACTACAGTCCATTTGAAAAAAAAATAGCACCTGCAATCATGCAAACACACTATAAAGTTTATGAAGCATTTATTCAGTCCCAAAAAAAGATAAAATCTGAAAACTATGCAGTAAAAATCATAAACACATATTTTAAACGTATATGAAATATGCATTATCGGATAATCTTAATTTGATCTATGTGGATCCAAATCACGTTTACATCAGAACTTTCAACAGCATAGCATCTACAGTAAAAACATGCTTGTGCATATAAATCTGGCCCTTACTTACAATGGTATTGACAACATAAAAAATTATTTATTTATTTATTTCACTAAAATACATTTTTCTAAGTAGATTTCCTATTTTCATTACATATTAACTTTAAACCAATCTATTATGATAGATTTATAATGTTTTATCATAATATAAATAATGTATATTTGCTTTATTTGAATGTTTAACAAACAATAAATATTTAAAATAAATTTTATTATATCATGGGTACATTGAAAGCATGTTGTCAAATAACATCATTTTAATATCTGCAATTGTTCTAACCTTTAGGTCTAATTAATACCAATGATTTGATAGTTCCTTTCACTGAACAATCATATCGGCAGTTAAGCATCAAAATTAACTTATCAGCGGACCTATTCTGAGCTCTTCCGATAATTCAATGAAAGCAATACAAGGGACATTCGATAAGTCCCCTTAGTGAAAGGCAGTTAACGAATGTTAGACAAATCGCTATTCTGTGTCCACGTTAAGTGGGTTTCGCTATGGTTAGTCGGTCAAGATGCATCTGAGTTCCACGCTATCGATAGCTATTACGCTTTAACCAATTACAGTTTAGTTAACATTGTATTTTTGTCACATGACTGCAACCCATCATTTTCTAAGTGAAGCACATGTTTTAGCATTGTCGTGTACCAGTGCTAGTGAAATAGTTTTGTTTTAAAATGTCGAAGAAAGGACAACGAAGCCAGCGAACTACAAGTTGCCAGTTTGAGATTCTCGTTAATTTTATGGAAGACAACCCTAAATTAATATCAGGGAAGTTAGATGCTTCCTTTACCGTGAAAGATCGTCAGAAATTATGGCAAGAGATAGCTGACCGTATGAATTCTGATAGAGTCGGCTGCAAAAAAATCCAGAAAGATGGCAAAAAGTAACTGATAGTCATATATTTATATTTAAAGCTATCATTTTAATTTATATATATGCAAATGAAACCTATTTCAGAAATACTGTTTATGCTATAGCTACTTACTTTAAATTTTAACAAGAAAGCAATTACATTATTCACACAATATTCATAAATAGTTAAGGTAATTATTTTTAAGCAATACAACAATTTACTTTATTAACTCTCTATCCAATTGCTCGTGAAGTAAAATCATTCTTACACCAAAAGACGCCATGTTGTTTTCACTTTCGTTATGTTCCTAACAGCAGCTCGAGAGTGATCGATAACAAAAGCTTAGTTATTGCACATGGCTATTGGAACTGAAAATGAAACGTACAGCTCGGAATAGCATTTTCACGTTGATTAAATGCGAATCACGTGGTTCCGACAAAAACTGGTTTCTATCGTATTTGTTAGCTTAACGATACTACTCAGAATAGGTCCCCATAAGATCTAGGCTAGTAATGGCAAACTTTTTATGGATGTGGGCCAAAATTGAATTCAAAATTTAGTAACTCCAAATCACATGTCAATATTTAATTTGAATAATTAAAAAAAATACAAAATATCCTTACAAATTTTACTTTATTTAACTTTTAAATCTACATCAGAAAATAACAGTAAACTATATAAGTAAAAAGAAAATAATAATGTGATTATAATAGAATCAAATATTTCCTTTAGTAGGAAATCTGCTCTTATTTATTTGATGATAATTTTTCTATCTGACTTGTGAGTTAATAATTTGTGGTCTTTAAGACTCTCACAACAGTTTTAGGATCCTGTTTTTGCATTACATATGCTAAGTTTTGAAATATATCAAATATTTATTTTATAATTTATAAAAAGCCTAATACTTTCTAAGCATTCAATGCAAGTTCCTTGAAATGATTGTGTGGGTCAGGAATTCACCATCACTGATCTAGGTTTCATTTTGATAATCTTTTTCAATTCTTATAAAAAGTTGAAAATTTTTAAGAAAATTAACTTTACTAGTGGCATCAAATTCTCAAGCTTTTTTAATCTTATTAGTATCATTTGCCTAAACCATATGCTGAAATTTTCTCATATTGTTTTTATATATGTGTTATTTAATAGAATCTACAAAATAAACTTCTCCAGGAATCTCAGACATGTATTTAAATATTTTGTACATGGCAAAGTAGAATTTCTGCCTCTGCATAACTGCATTATAAAATGGCTTAACAAAAACACATTGCTGTTCCCTGTTGGAAGTTCATGTCTATGCATTATTTTTCCTTATATTTCTTATATATTTCATTCCTTTTTGTTTTTCTTTATCATGTGATGGTATTTTGTAAATTCCTGACTTTACATAATTACTCAACAGTCAGATTTAATTATGACATGTGTATTTGTTGCTTTGGTTTAGATAACTTTAATCATAACAGTCTTCTTTTCAACTTACTGGAGTAAGTAAGTAAACTATCACACAAAAACTTTTTAACCAGTAATTGAACTTTAATGTAATTTCCTAATGTTTTTGGCCTTCACCAAGGCCTGCCTCAGGTGTTTAACAAAACTGACTTCCAACAATTGGAACATTAAAACAATGATGTTTGACTTTAAACTTTGAATATATCAAATTCATGTGGTTGGTTGACTTCATTTGAATTTCTTGTACAGGTACTCCCACGCATGCGCCACTGTCTCACAGTCTTTTAAGTTAATACAGTTGCCTTTCAAGTTGGCTTTATAAATTTTCCAAGCCTTCAAGCTAAGGATATTGTCTGTTTGAAAGGCCTGTCTAATTAATCTGGTATTCTGTAGATCTGCATGCACTTCCGGGTCTGTGGCATATGTGGACTGGATGGTGGTATGCAAGGTCGTATTGATGTTCACGTACCCTTTTACATATGGCTCAACCATATATAAAAAGGTACGTGAACATCAATACGACCTTGCGAACAACAGGCATACCACTGCCCTGTCCACGAGAAATTCAAATGAAGTCAACCAACCACATGAATTTGATATATTCAAAGTTTAAAGTCAAACATCATTGTTTTAATGTTCCAATTGTTGGAAGTCAGTTTTGTTAAACACCTGAGGCAGGCCTTGGTGAAGGCCAAAAACATTAGGAAATTACATTAAAGTTCAATTACTGGTTAAAAAGTTTTTGTGTGATAGTTTATAACTTTAATCTTCTCTTTAATATTTTATCACATTATTTGCTCCTAATAGAGATTATTTTTGCACCTTGCACAGTCATTATTATTATGAGTAATTTGTAGAATTTTTTAGTATAACAAATTCTTTATTCTAATTATTATAATATATTATTTTTTATAAAAAATGATAGAAATGTTGGAAACAATGAAAAATAAAACAGATATATTCACATTTTGTACTTTTTAAAATTTTGCATTAACAAAAATATACAATTAAAAGAATGTAAATGAATAATTTCTTAATATAATCTTATATATATGTGTATTTTTTCAAAAAATAATTTTGTAAATAATAGGTTAGAAAGCAATTTTGGTTTTCCCAATGAATAATGCATGTATGATTTCCATTTATAAAAAATAAGGTGCAAATATATAATGTGATTTGAAAATAAAATGGGTTTTAGGACATTAGTATGTGATCATTAAAGAGAGTAAGGAGAAATATTAGTTGATGTGATATTAAATATAGTGATAAAATTTTATATGCTTTGTATATCTACTGTTTACTAGATTTATTTGGCTTATTTAAAATTCTAAACTGGCATGTCGGTGAAGTTATACTGTGGAGACAAATGAATATGTTTCTATAGCAGTAGAATGTTGTTTGCTTGGAATTTTTAATATAACTATTTACTTTTGAATTTGAAGTATTAATTTTACTGAAATGTCTTTGTTTAACTTCTTTCTGGTTTAAAATATTTTCAGTTAAGCTCTAAATGAGGTTTTTGATTGAATTTTATAAAATTTAATGAAGCTTTTTGTCAGAAATTTATGAAATTTTAATTGTTGTTTCAGAAATATGAAAAATGTTATACTACACTACAAAGTTTAATTACTGGAGTATCAGAAAAAGAAGCTCATGATGCGTTAAATGCAAGTGTAAGTAAAATTATTATAAAACCTAATGCTATGTAATATATATAATATTTAAGATTTTTATTATTAGTGATTGTTAAATATTTGAAAAATGAATATAATTTTGAACATTTAACTTTGTTTTCTTTGATTAAAATTTTCTGTTTCAATTTATTTGATTTCATTGATGTTATGAAATACTCAAAATTAAGAGTCCTTTTGTACTTTAATTATGATTAAGTAATTTTTGAGATATTCTGCTTCATTATCAGGTCACAACAAAAATTTAAATAAAGAACAAAAGTTTTCAAAAACTTCTAATGGCACTATTTGAACAGTTTGAAGTATAGTACTATACTTTGAAATGTTCAAATAGAACCACTAAAATATTGCTATTTAAAATGCTGGTAGGGATATTAAGCTATCTAATCATCTAATCATTTTGCTGCACATTATATGATGATATCATTCTGATTGTTAACATAAGATAGTAGATGGACAGTAGGTGGAATAGGGTTTGTGTTAGGGTTATACTATATTAATGGTGTATATTTAACTTGGTTATGGTTGAAAAATTACATCAGAGATGCATTTCAAGAAATTCATACACAAAGATACTTGTGCAGAAATGTTTGTGAAAGCATGAAATGGTGAAATGTAGATTTCAAAGCTGTGTAAACTATGATGGACAGCAGTTTGAGCATCTGCATTGATAGTATTGTATTGTATTAGTAGATATAATTGTATATGTAATCTCAAAATTTATATGTATATGTACTCTCAATAAATGTTATTTACTGTCCAACTACTTTTGGTTCACCCTGTATAAAAAAGCCACAAAAGCCTTCCTGATAATCTTTTGCAATCATCCTTGCCATTTCCATATGATCCTTCTTGGCACAAAATACTCATTTTATGAATGCTTTCACTTTTTGCCTGGTGATAAATCCATCTGAACCTAGCTGCATCACAGCTAGGTTCAGATGTGTTTTTCTAATTCTTTAGAAGTTGCTTTTGCTTTTAGATCCTGATATTTATTATTTTTTATGTCTTTGTGTCTTGTTCTTCAGTCAAAAGATAGTAAGGGATAATTGTCCTTAAATATTTGGGATAATTTAAGTCTTCTATTGTGTTCAGGTGTAAGATAATTTTTTTGGGATCTAGGATAATTTTGTTTATTTCTTTTTCAGATTGTATACTAGAAGTATTGTCTTCTGAATATCTGTTCACTACAGCATTGTCATAATGGGATGAGTTTGGAATCAAATTTGACTTTGCCAAAATAAAAGTTTTTATTTTGTTATAAAAGTTATAAATGCTTTCATCAAATTGATGTTAAATGTGATGAATATTTGCTAATTTTTCAATCCTAAAATCTGCATCCATTACCAGTATAGTTTTATGAGCTGTTGACTTCAACTTATTACTTTTTGAGCCTGTTGGCTCAAATCTTCCTGTCAAAAATTCTTAGCTTTCAATTTGCTTAGAAATGTGTGAACAAGAACCTGTTTTTTTTAAAATAATTGATAAGCAGCACATTACACTGTCATTTTATAGACATTAAGAAGGTTAATATCCATAAACATTATTCTTACTTTATTAAGAACAGTTTTTTGAGTCTTTCTCAACATGTTTTGCTGAGTTACATAAGCACAGATAAATTCCTCTTTGATGTTAGTTATTTAGACAAAATTAAAAATTTTTACAAGAAAGTTTTGTCAATCTCAATCTTGTTACTCTATTTTCTTTTGCATTCAATTGATTAATGTATTGGATAAAGTTTTTCAGCTTCAGTTTTTTTCTAAGCAAATGTAAAAGACTATAATACATAGATCTCCAACTTTTTTCTGAGAAGAGTCATGTGAACTGTAAGAGATAAGTTTAGGAGCCAGGTACAAAAAAATATTCTGAGTCAAATGAATTAATTGTTTTTGATTAATTGTTTTTAAATCCAATTAAGTACAAAGATGAGAAACACAGAGTGATTTAAATGATACAAATGGATAAACAATAATATAAATTCTTCAAGAGTAGAAGGAAATGTGTTTTCCTGCACCTCTGTATTTTACATCCACTTGACACTTAACCAGGATTTCCATCAGGAAACTTAAGGATTTCCATCATATTATGGGCTTCCTCATTCTTGGTTGATTGGGCCACCCATGTTAAATAGAAGAGAAGCAAGGAAAGACTATGGATCCAGAAGGAAATGATCTGGAGTGGAAAGTATGTGGGAAGAGGTAATCAGTAATACTGCTAATATATGAGAGCATTGAGCTTGATAGGAACTCTGAGCCTTCATAGGAAATCTTATAAAATGGAAAGATTTCCCTTCTTAAAGATTGGCAACATGTCATGGAAAAGTGACAACAGGTGTAACTGGCATGTTTTATTAAGCAGATAGGACAGTGGTGTAATTGAGGGTAAATGCCCCTGCAGCTGGTTCAGTTAAACTAAAACTTTCACTTCTTATTGAAGTTCCCCAGGGAAAGAATGATCTTATTTGAATTTATAGTGGTAATGCTTCATTGTAATATATTGGGTAAATTGTGTAAATTTGTAAATAAACTATAGTTCAGTGATACCTTGTACTTCAAACACTTCAGAGTTTGAAGTACAAGGTACCACTGAACTATAGTTTCCAAAGTTCAAACTGTGCATGCAATGAAAAAAATCAGGGCTGTGGAGTCGTGTAAAAATCTACCGACTCTGACTTTTCCTTACCGTCCGACTCTGACCAGGGGCGGACTTGTTACTGAAAGAGATCTGGAAATTCTGATGTCATCATGGTGACCTCAGAATAAAAGATTTGATAAATAGAGTTTTAATAAAGATAGAGTGTAGAAACTTTTTATTCCAAAGCTAAAAGACTCCTCTAAGTAATATATAAATATGTATTCGATAATTTTTACTTTTCTGGCTGTTATATTTAACAGAGGAAAAGTGTAGCGCTCAGTCAAAAAATGACTCCTCCCAAATTTTTACATTTTTGGACTCAGGACATCATGAAATTTCGAGATATGCAAAAGATTTGAGGTTTTTTTCTATATGTGTGGAATCATGCCCCCCATACTGTGTGTGGGGGGCATGATTTTGTTCACCCTGTTTGAAGCCTAATAATTTCTATGGTCAGAATCGGAGTCAGATGGTTTAACACAAGAGTTAGTTATTAAGCGTCAAAGCAGTTGAACTAAATCATGTCCCCATACACATTCTAACATCTTAGGTGAGAACATCTTAACGGGTTTTACTGTACTATTATAAAATGGCAAAAAAGCTTACTTTGAGGGTAGAGACAAGTTTTATTTTATTTTTTTAAATTTTGAACACTAATAACGAATGAAATATTCATTAAGAGATATGACACATGACCACTTTTATGTCTTCACCCTGTCGACCTTTAATTAAGAACCAAAATTTAATAGTATAATTTAATGTCTCTTTATACGCAAGCTACAGTGCCACATTTCATTTCTTAAACTTTACCTATTCTTAAATATTGTTTAATATCTCAGAACAGAAAATAAAGAAATTAAACAAATTAGACACCAACACACATATGCATGCAAATTTTTCCACTTTATTGACTTTTTTGAGGGTTTGGGAGGTCTCCAAACGTGTAGATTTGCAAAAAAACTTGGAAGATCAAATTTGACACGATTCCAATACTTTTCCGTTTTTTATACATAGCAAGTTGATAAGTAAAAAGGAGCCAGAGTCGGCAGATTTTTTGATGACTTCGACTCCAGCTAAAACACCAAAACTCCGCGACTCCGACTCTGACTCCGACTCCACAGCCCTGGAAAAAATGCACTCACTGTGTAAATGCCATCTATTGCACATCCAAGTCATCTCTGATACTTGCTCTTTATTATGCTCATATGTTTTCAGTACATTTTTTGCTTTATTTTTGGTCTGTTTGGTTTTATATATTGTGTGTTATACATTGATTTTTAACAATTTTTTCTTGCAATTTTTCTTTGTTGAGAACTTTGGGCACTCTGTACATTTTGTATCCTTTAGTTCAAAATTTTCTGAATGGAATTTTTTAAATCACATTTGACATGTTTGAAGTTTAGGGGCATTTACTTCCACTTTAATTGTTTGGCCATCTGGTCATCACATGGGTGGGTAGTAATAACTATATGTAGTTTGAACCAGTGGTTTTTTTCAGAGAGTCATTCTTATCATCATTCAGCAGATGCTAAGTGAACTTGTTATATCTTCATTTGGAAAATCTTTACTGAATTAGTCATAGATTATGATTATTTTAAATTTCTAAAAAAAACATCAAACATAAATTAATAGGAAATTTGCAACTTCTTTTTTAAAAGAATGCCAAAATTAGGGAAAATTTTGTGGCACCTAATATTAAAATTTTTAGATATTTGTTGGACAGTGATATTCAATATTCAATTGATTTTATATATTCTGTTTTTGAAAAAGTTTGTTTGCATAGGTACTATATATAGAAGTAAAAATAGAAATTATCGCTCATGCAAATTTTTAAAGACTTTTCTTTAAATAGGTTGTTATAAAAATCATTTTCAGCAAAGTATATTAATTGTAGTTGACTTATCAAAAGTTTACATGAAAATAAAATATTAGTTCAAATGTTGATGATAAATCATGTAAGTAAAAAACAAGCTATGTGAACTGGATAAATAAGCTTTGAGTGTCATATTTAGCCTACAGGTCATAGGATGAGATTCCTGCTGTAATGAGAATACATATCACTAATTGTTAGATAGTAATATTTGCTATTTTTTTGTTAGTACATTTATAAGACTACAAAAATCTTATTTTAATCTGAACAAGATGGTATATTCTTAAATAGTAGGCGGGTAACTTTTTTGGTAATCTTTCATGCTTGAATAACACTTCACAATTATTTTCAGAATAGGAAAGATTTAGAAGTTATAGACCATATCCATTTGTGTGTCCCAATTGCATATACCATAGATTTTTTTCTCCAGTTTTCATGTTTGCATGTTCTGTCTTTCTGATTTGAATTAAACAGTGAAAATATTTGAAGAATGTTTTCCAGAGATATAAATACCATTTGCAAATACAGTTGTATGTCTTTGCAAAAAACTAATTTACATTTTACCATTTTATCTTTTTTACTGATAAAAAATTAGGTGATAGATTTTCATGATTAAAGCATTAATGTTAATAACAATACCACTATTACTGTATATTTGTAGTAATTTTCTTCTTTGCTATAATTATCTCTTAACTTGTAGTTTTACGAGCCATTAGTGTAAATTCATTATGTCAGATTTATACTTTCCATTGTTTTGCACACTAAATGATCTGTTGCTCTAGAGTCAATCACAAAAGTTTATGAAGTTTCCCTGTAAGGTTTATCTCAACAAATAAAACAAAAATGAAGTTTTTTCTTTTCTGATATTATTAATATTTTTTCAATTGAAATCATTATTTAAAAATTCTTTATTATTCCTGTTAGTTCTGAAGTCTTCATCCATGTTGTTTGCATTGATTGTTTGCACTTTTACTTTTATAATCAGTCTTCTATGAAATGCTGAACATTTCTTCATCTTTAACAACTCTGTAGACTTTTCTTTGCACTAAAAGAACATTTGTTATTTCTAGCCTTCAGCTCTGACTTAGTAATGTTCTTCATTTTTATTTGAAATTGAGAGGTCTGCCTTCTTTAAATCAGAAATGAGATGATTTGTTCTTGATCACTTCATTTTTTTATGGTGCTCTATAGATTCTCAATAGAATTCATGTCTGAGAAGTTTCCTGGCCACTTCAATACCGTTAGGTTATGCTTCTTAAATGATTCAGAAATGGATTTGGAAGCATATATGAAATAAAAATTCCTGATCACCAAAAATGTTCTTAGTAGATGGTCTCATAAAGTATTTAACGGTTCTTGATACACAGCAGAAGTGATGTTAAATTCAAAAAAAAGCTAACTCCTATACCTATATTTTCCATTCACTTTCAAACCATTACACTTATTGGGTAAGTACTTAACAGTTGATTTAATGCATGTGGAATTGAATTATTTTTTTCACCAAATGTGTGGGTTACCATCAATTGCAAGTGCAAAATGATACTTGTTACTTTACAAAATACTTCACATAGATTTAAATAATAATTAACATATATAAGCATTTAAAAATATTTAACTATATCCAACAGGAAATTGGCAATGTACTCATTGAATGGGGAATATATTTAAATTCTTCATAGGCTTATCTCTAACACTTTATTTATAACTCAATGTTATCCTTTTGTCTATATATTTTTTGATTTTTTTTCCTCCTACAGTTTCTTCAATGGACAACAGACATGAAAATGAATTTTATATACATTTTTTAAACTTTAAATAACTTATCTATATAAAAAGTTTTTATATTATATCTGTTATTTGTTCTGTAATCTTTTTCTAATGCTTTTTGAAATCAGTTTTTTTTTCTGGAGGAGTGTTTATTTATTGTTTTTGAACATATCTTGTGAAAGTTTAAATAAATGAGCAAGTAAATACTTGTAAGCTTAATAAGTAAATTTATTTTTCAGGTTTGCAAGGCATCTCAAAATCATGAAGAAGTTAGTTTAGGTTTATTAGTTGCTCTTTTAACAGAACCACCAAATGCTTCCAGGGTAAGTGTGATTAATATAAATTACTATATAATTTAGAAATTCTTACATTTAATTTGTAAGAAAAATAAAAGTGACAAGTTATTAAAATTTTATCAGAATTTTTAAATGATTTTTCAAATTTTTCACGTATACTATTATGCCTTGCTAATAAGTTGATCTCAGCATCATTTTTGCCAGTCACAAATAACAAAATGCAAAGAACATTTATAATTTTCATGGAATATCAGTTCCATAATTTCCACAGAGAAATTTTTAAACTTGTTGTGCTTTAATAGTACTGCTCTCTGTGAGATGCAGTCATCCTCTCTTCTGATTCAGCACTTTGAAAAGTGCATTCTCAGATATTGAATAAGGAACAATGAGGAAGTGGAACTTTGTATGGATGGTTATAGAAAAGTTATGTTATTTCAGAAATAGCTTTATCATGCTCTTAATTTAAATTTCATGCAAAATGAGTTTGTTGAAGAAGAGCAAAACTTATTTTTTATGATGGATGGGAAATAACTTTTAAATAAATTTAACTATTTTACATTATAATTTTATAAGAGTAGTCAATCTAATAAATCTGTGGTAGCTAAACTTTGTCTTGTGAGCTACATGTGGTTCTTCTAGATTAGTGGTTCCCAATTTTTTTGGCTTGCATACTGCTTGGCAGCCCATTTTCCTAAGCTTTATTTCCCATTTTTGCTAAGTTTTATTTTGCATGTTCATCAAACCTTGGTTAATTTTACAGCACTATAAAATTTCATTTAATAAATTTTTAAAAAATTAAAAGCATTGAAGGAAGGAGGACAGATAAATATAATAAGAATATAATTATATTTTTATTTAAAACTATGTTGATAATTATATCTGTGTTGATGATATCAAAGCCTTTTGATATTGTCAACACGGAATTTGAATATTCTTATCGTATATCAGCCATTATTAATTTTTTCACATACCCTCAGTTGGGAAATGCTATTCTAGACTCTTATTGCAGATCCCATATATTAAAAAAGTTTCTTTTTATAAATTTGGTACATACTATTTACAAATGTATAATATTTTTTAAGTTTGGACAAAAGTTGAGATTCAGATATGGCCAGAGGCTGGCTAAAACTATGATTTATTTAAGTTTAGATCTTACATTATTATAAAACTTTTTAAAAAATATTAACGAATTGAAATACAATCAGTAGATGTTTGTAAATCTAGCACTTGATAATCCGGAATGTCTGATGATCTTTCTGTTTTTGATATTTTGTACATTTTGGCAAAGCCTCTGCATAGTCTCTTTGTATAATTGATGATTCTGATGTTGATATGATGTCTTCACTATCACATTTATTAGTTTAGTCTTTCTTAAATAACTAAAAAATACTGTTTTTTGGCTTGACTTTAAAGCATAGGTTAATAAATAAAAAACACTAATAATAATATATTTGATATACTTTTAACAGAAAAAAGTATTATATAAAGAAAAATAATTGGTGGCTAAATATTAATTAGATTATTATTAATAATTAATAACAATAATAATCTAATCCTAAAAGAATAATTTTTTCTAAGATTAGAATGATATGTGCTTAAAGTGTATAAATGCATTTGATGTACACAGTATAGCACTGTGATGTAAATTATAATATTTTATTTAAAAATCTGACGATATGAGCATTAGGTAGCTTCTTTATTATTATTATATTCATAACTGTATGTGTACTTTAGATATGTTGTGAATAAAATATATTAAAATCAGTAGAAACATTTAAGAGATTGATGTCAGTAATAAAGGGAAATTTCCTTTGATACAGCATAAAAAAGATAGATATTCCATGGAAAGCATAATTAAATGGTTTTTTATCAGTAATTTGTTTAAAGAAAAAAAGCAAACCTGTACTATAATGATTATATCTAAGAACTTTATAAAACTTTTATCCTAACTATTTGATAATCTGATTATTAATGATGATATTAAAAACAATTAAGCTTTCTTTAATAAAGCAATAAAAAATAATTGTTTCTGTATTAAAAGATAAACCAGATATGTTTTTTTGTTTATTGTTAACAACAATCACTTTGAGATGGTTTCTAGAAAATATAATTGTTATTTCAGAAATGTGGCATTAGGGAGATAATTTCTATGTTTCAAGTGATGGTACAACTTTTCCTGACTGGGGCTCTGGCAAAGAATGGGTTCAAGGCCTTTAGCTGCCATTGTTGCTATGGGACTTGACCTCTCAAGAGTTGGGTTGTTTGGGAGTGCTGCCCTAAGCAGGTGGTAAACTCCATCCAAGACTAAATATGGCTATGAGACTGATAGCAAACTAATGCATTAATAGCTACAATAAGTTTTCAAATAAATTATTCATTATTAACGTAGATATTCAATGCAAAAAGTAACGTTCTATATTTTTATTCAATTTGCACATAGTCTTAAGGATGGTAGTAAATGATGGTCAAAAAGTAAAAAGAATAAATAATATACTGGTCAAGGTTTATGTAATATCTTATATGTGCATGATAACACCAGTTTGAAAAAATCACAAATATTCAATATTTGATCTGTTTTGAAGATGATAAATAATTGCAAATTAAGTAATAGTTTTTTTTTTTTAATGCTTGATGAAATTTCAGAATGATAATTTTTCAAATATGAATGCTAGACCTGAAACAGATTTATAAATAAACTGAAAATGTTTGTTTATCGTAAATAAACTCCAGTTAGAAAAGTATGAAAAGTATGCTTTTAATGTCAATTGTTTTGAAGTTAGTACTTTAAATCAAATACAGTGGTGCCTCGCATAACGTACGCCTCGAATAACGGATGCTGCGAATAACGGACTTTCTGTTTGACCGTTACGTGACTTGAGCAACGGACTTGCTGCGAACAACAGACTTTCCATTCGGCAGTTACGTGAGACGAACAATGGACTTTCTTCGAACAAGTGCGAATGATGTTTCCACTCTTTTGCCGTTGCCAATGACAATCTGCTATTTTTAGGATATATTAGTATTATTAGAATATATTATTAGTATATCTGAAGTAGAAATGTAATGTAATATATGTTGACGATTCAAATAAACGAAATGTAATTGTGTAGATGCCGAGGTGGCGGGACGAAAAGAGGTTGTAAAAAACAAACGGAGCGAGAGTAGCTCGTAGAAGTGTTTAGTGATCTTAATTAATAAAGAATTATTCGTATCATATAATCTGGCAAGTTAAGTCATTTATAATGCATCATGGCTTCTAAAAAAACAGAAAGGTGATTTCAATTGAAACAAAGCAAGAAATCATCAGGAGTGAAAGTTGACAAAAACTTTCTTGTCGAATGGGGAGAGGTTCAGGAGTTTACCAACACTCATTATCCAAACAGAGCTGAGGCCAACAGGATCAATGATCTCTACGATGACACCTTTGTCCGTCATTTCCGACAGGTGTTAAAGAAGAAAGAGAAACAGACCACCTTGGTCATGTTTTTCAAGAAGCCAGCGGGCAAAAAACAAAGGATGGAACAAGAGAAGTTGACCCTGCAAGTTCCGGTAGCCTCTCCTGAATCTGACTCCGATTAAAAAACAAAAAAAAAAGACCCGCTGCAATGTGTAAAAAGTCTGTATCTGTATGAATGTGTAAAGAAAGTGTTCTTCCACCTCCTCCTCACAACATCTGACTACCCGGCATAATTGGTGTCTGCTCCATTTTCATTTTTTATGGTACAGTACGGTTATTTTATGCTGCGGAACGAATTATATGTTTTAACATGTATTTCTATGGGAAAATGCGTTTCGTATAACGGACGTGCACCTGGAACAGATTAAGTACGTTGTACGAGGCACCACTGTACTTTAAGTAATAATCTTAAGCAAATCCACTTTTCAGTTGTGGACAAGGATTTCTATTTACTTCAGTGGAAACTTTTCTTAAATGGGAATGTTATACAGGAAGAATTTACACCTCTCTTATAGGGAAAAACTTCTTACCCAAGTTCTACTATGTTTAATTTTTACAGCTATATTTTTTAAATTCTGTATATGGGTCTATTTTTTAATTTAACAACAAATTACAGTAGAGCGTTGATTATCTGAATGCCGATCAGCTGAAATGTTGGTTAACTGAAAGCGTTCCAGCCCAACTGTGTTGTGAGGAATCGAATGTTTTTGATACTAGATTAACTTCTAAAGTATAAATTTTTTTGTTTTTTATATTTTTCAATATATTTATTTTGTTTGTACAAAATGAAGAAATAATTTTTAACAATACAATAGCTACGATTATTATTATAAAAATTTTTATTAGGCTTAATATCAATGAAAATTCAACGCAAAGTGACACACAACGGAGAAAAATTTAAACATGGGATATATTAATATACTATTGTTGAGATATACTAATGTACTATATTAATAATGTATTTTTTCGTACATAATTGGTTATCCAAAAATTCGATTTTCCAAACAATCCCCAATTGATTTGGATAATCTACGCTCTACTCTACTATATTTGGAGAATATTTTAATATTTTTGAAATAGAACTATAAATATATTTATCAAATTTGTTAATAATTTATTATTAAAAGTACAGTAAAACCTCACTTTTGTATTGTATGTAAATGGGAATAAATGTCACTTTAGGATACTTCTATCTTGGCCACTTAAGTAAGTTGACCAGTAACCCCAAGATAAAGTTTGATTTATATTAAGACTTATCAGTTTTAAAAGCAGAATTTTATGGATGGTCTCAAAGCATGGTTTTATTGTAGATGTTTTATAATATATTTTTCTAATATTTTTAGATCATCAAGAAACTATTTTGATTATTATTTATAACTATACTATTTATAATTATAAATTATAACTATTAGATTTAGATAATCTTATTATAAACTATTAAAAATGTTTTTTATTTATTTTACAGTATTACAGAGATTTAACTTATATTACAAGAGATGGACTAAGTTTAGTACAGCAAAATGTCTCTCACATTATTTCTGAAAAATATTCAAAGCTCCAAGAAACATGTAGAACCCAGGTATTTTTTAAATAATAAATTCAGTTATAATGCAATTTTAATATTACTCTGTAATAAATCTGTTCAGATGTTTATTACAAGAAAACAAAAATTATATATATTTAAATCTGCATCAGTGATATATGCACTAGCTTGTATAATCTTTTATCAGTCTTCAAATAATTTACCATATTTCTGCACATATTTTTTGCCACTGCATATTTTTTGCACTTGTATTTCCAAGAAATGTTTTTATCAAAAACAAAATATTTGAGTATTTATCGCATGAAAAATGCAAGACTTTTCATACTGAACTGTTTAGTATAGGAGATGGGATATGAGTAAACCAACAAGAATTTTTACAGTATGTAGGTGTTTTGTTTACCCTCATTACCTTGTATAGTCTCAACAGTACAGTATCTTTGTACTTGCTGGAGGCTATAAGGATGGGGAATAAAAGCTGGTATACACAGTAAGGAAATCCTCAAAGGATGTGCTTAACAGACGAAAAAAACTCGGATATAACTGGCTGGATCGAACGTAGTAATTTACAAAACTTATTAAAATATCTCCCAGCGTATAAAGAATTATTTTTATTTAAAAATGTATAGATAGAAAAAAAAATCACGGTTAATCCTCAAAGGATTTCCTTACCGTGTATACCAGCCTTAAGGGCAGTTGTTAATTGTGATGCTTTATAGCACTTTAGTAGATTCCTCAGTGTTATATTGAGTAGAGTTAACCGCAACTTTGTGAGATGGCAAGAAAAATTAACAGTTTTACTGCACAGTATAAAATTAAAATAATTGCTTTGAGGAACAGAATGGCAGTTGAGAGGCTGAATGAAAATTGAGTGAGGTACTTGTTTGCTACTGGCATAAACAAAAAGAAGCTCTAAGCAATGCAAAATCTAATGTTGAGGACATTTTGTAGTCCCAAGACTGGAAAGTATCCCCATCTCGAGAAAGAACTGTTATGATATATTGAAGAAACGTGCAACAATGGCTGTGCTGTATCATGTGATATGTTGCAATCACAGGCTTGCAATATTGCTCAGACACAAAATATTTTTTCCCTGAAGTTTAAGGCTGGTTGAGGATGGGTCAACAGATTTATGAAGAGGAAAAATCTTTCTCTATGTAGAACTACGTAGAAGAACTACATTGTGCCAAAGGTTAAATAAATAGTGAATAAATACTGATATAGTCTACCTTCAAAAATAATTTGCATTTTTTTTTAATCTTGATTTTTGATTAGTAAAAATGGCAAAATAATGCAAAAAATATGCATGAAAATACAGTATAATTTTTTTTTAGTGTAAAAGATTTGTGTTTATTGTTGAAGAACTTAGATGCATGACTTTTAATATCTTTCAAGTTCTTGAATAATTTTTTGTTAAAATTATTTTACAATAACTGAAATAAACAGAAATTTGATGGTGCAAAGTTTGGCAAATATGGTAAATGAATAAGAACGTATATCTTTATATATAAAGCTAGATGCAACCATATCACCCAAGCATTGGGAGAAACATCTAAACTACAACAATTTTTGTTGGATAGTTAAATAAAAGGCCTCAAGTGTTGTAAATAATAATTTTTATCTTAATTTAAGAACTGGATGATTTTATTTAGAAATTTTACTTCAGCTAATTATAATTCAACCTGTTTATACAATTCAGTTATACTTAATATCTTAAGATAATACTCATAAAAATGTATGCATCATTAAAATCTAAGCTAATTTACTATGGTCTACATAAAATTATTTTAGGACATTAACATTATCAAATATGTGATGCAATCTATGAAAGTTCCTTTCATAGATTGAATTTTATATTTTTCTCTTTATTCTTATATTTCAGATATAAAATATGTTTCATATTTTAATTATAATTATTTTAGTCATATATTTGAATAATACATGACTAAAATAAATATATAAATAGTAATCGTCTGGATTGATCAAACGATTACAAATGTTAGTACAATTCAAATTATTATTGTCTGAATATTGCTCAATATTATATGTCAGTTGGTTTGACTCTATAAATTTTAGTACCATAGACAGAAACACTTCTGCAATATTTTTAAAATATTATAATTAACATGTTTTTAAACATTGATTTATGTGTACCTATACATACGTACATATCATTAAACATATATTTGTGTGTAATGATGCAGATTTAAAATACATTATTTTTAGTAGTTTAAAGAAAGATTATTATTTCATAATATTTCAACAATAATATTTTATAATAAATAGTTCTTATAATAAGCTAAATTATAATAAAATTAAATTATACCATAAAATACTTTTTTTAAAGTTATATCATAAAATAACAAAATTTTATGTTAATAAACTTAAACATTTTCCTTATTTTACTTATTTCTATAAAATTTTTAAATATACTGGTTTCATTCAAATAATAATTGCCTTCAAATAGTAGACATGCTTACTACTTGAGGATTTCTGAAAAATTAGAGAAAAAATGTAAAATTAATAAATACTATAAACTGTGGTAGGTAGGTATCATATTTAATAAACAAACTTTAATAGAAAATGAAATATATAAGATATACAATAGATAGTAGGTGTATTTTTTAATTATCTTCTTATTACTGGTAGAATGAACATTTATTACAAATAAAAATACCAGTTCCAATTTCAAGTATAATTTGCTTTAAAACTCAACTTTTATAAATAAATATTTAAATACTTTAATAATATTAAATATCAAACAGACATTTTCAAAAAGACAACAGTTAAATGCTGGATATATTGTATTCAATCACCCTACTCTCTTGCCTAAACTCCAGCAAAAAATTCTTTACTTACTTGAATGTTTTCATCCACATTTCATTTACATTCCAATTCTACAGCCTGATGATGTCCAATGGAATGTGAATGAAAATGGATGTTTGCATAAGTAAAGGATTTTTTTGCTGGCATTTAGGCTGTTGAATAGGGTGATTGAAGATATTTACAAACCAATTAATATTCAACTGTATAACTACAATACTTTTTCAGCAAAGGAATGATTTTCCTTTTCTGAAAACATGTTCTGGTTGTATAGTTGAGTGTTGAAATATGTTCTAGCTTTATGAAGTCATCTTTAGCAAATAATAACTTTCCTCAAATAGTAACTGCAGAGAAAATATGCAGTTTAAAATAGTAACCATGACTGTTATTTAACTAAAACTGGTATATATTGTATATATTATTATTATAATTAAATAAATATAAATATAACTATCTTTGTTTTTCAGTTAATTTGGATGATTAAAGAAATGATTAAAAATTCTGTAGCTGGTGTTGATCAACTTTGTTTTATATTGTTAAGACAAATTGCAGGTATATATTTTTATTTGTATTTAAATAAATTTATTTGTTAAAAATTTAAATTATTTAAGTACTATTTAGATCAGGGGTATCCAACGTTTTTGTTCCTCTGGGCCACATTGGAAGAAGTCATGGAATTTTGGGCCACAAGTATATATAATATATTTGTGACCCTATCTAGATTATAGTAATAAGTATTAAAACTTTATCATGAAAAAGGATATTTTAAAAAACTACTACTACAGACACTTTCAATTTTTACTTAGAAATAGATAAATTCATTTATTATAAAGGAGACAAACAAAAATTTATATGAAAAACATGAATATTTGTTTTATTTGGGTCTCTAATTAATGAAAAACGACGAAACACCATTTTAAAATGCATTTGATTAATATATTTATAAATAATATGTAGCCCAGAAAGTAGCCAATGTGCCAAATGATAATTTTTACACCAAACTAAAAAACGGGTAGCCAAATTTGGTGCAAAGTAGCCAAATCTTGCAATGCTGGAAGGAATACTAAATAATGCTGGAGTTGGAACTCAAAGGATTATAGACCAAAATTTGAGAAAAGGAGAGAAAAGCCAAAAGATAAAAAGTAATGAGGAAGGTTGGAAAATTAAGGGTCAATATTTGCATAACAGAAGGTCTATTTAACCTTTCTCACTACTTTTTATCTTTTGGCCTTTCTCTCCTTTTTTCAAATTTGGGTCTATAATCCTTTGAGTCACAACTTCAGCTTTATTTAGTATTCCTTCATCATTCACCTGTCTCTAAGTATTTGAAAATATTTTCTTTTCACTCAAAAATAAAATATATATAAAAGTTTACAGCTTTGTGAAACTTCTGTTCTGAGTTTATGCTGTCGAAATAAAAAAAAAGAAAAATAACACAATTTGTCAGTTTTGTTTACACGTTTATTGGGCCGTTTGCGGCCTGTGGGCCACGGGTTGGACACCCCTGATTTAGATTATTTAAATTACAGTATTTTTGAAAGTTATTTACTGTACAGTTTCTGACTTCATTTTGTTTTTTACAAGATTACAGTAAAGCATCAATTATCTGTCTCAGTTGGGGACTGGGGTTGGTTGGATAACTGAAAAAACAGATAACCGAAAAGTATGAAAAAATACATTATTAGTATAGTATATTAGTGTATTCCATGTAATTAGTATATTAATATATCGCTATTAACCTACTTCGTGTTGAATTTTCATCAATGTTAAGCATGACAAAAATTTTTTAACATAATAATTGTCGCTATTGTATCGTTAAAAATTAGAAAATTAAGCCTTGTTTAAATACCGGCTCCCTTTCATGGTCAAGCCAGTTTTGCCAGCTAAAACACGTAAAAATAATATTAAAGTAGCTAAGACATAGCCAAATATTGTAGCACCACATCACTAGTGGACATTTGAATTTGCCAACTAGAACGCGGTCGGTTAATCAATGTGACAGTTGATCGGGGGTCGGATAATCAATGCTCTACTGTAACTATAAATATATTATTATTAATCTTAAATTAAATTATTACTTTCTTACAATTCTCAAATTTGTACAAAATTTAAAAAATATTTCATATATTATTTTTAAAGTATAGATTTAAAAGTCTATACTTTATATCTATATTCAATCACCCTATTCAAAAGCCTAAACTCCAGCAAAAAATTCTTTACTTACATGAACAGTTTCATCTGCATTTCATTGGACATCATCAGGTTATAGAATTGGAAAATGGAGCAGCAATGTTTGAATATTCAAATCCAACATGTTGTTGTTTGCTGATTGGAGACATTTCCAATCTGGGTGGTTGCTGATTGGAAGAGACAATCTCTATATGAATTCTCTAATAGACTTCTTAGAAAATTCATGTTGTATTTCTTAGACCTAATCATCAAATTGAGAGATGGATGCATAGTCATAGGGGTGTACAGAAAACCAACCTGTCACTCCATATTCATTTCCTTAACCTCACTTGACCCTGTTCTGTACAAGATGGCTGCATTTAACTTTTGGTTTGTAGAGCATTTAAGCACATCTCTGATCCAAACCATAGGATGCAAGAATTACAAACTATCACCAACCAGGCAGTACAACATGGATTTTCTAAGTAGTCTATTAGGGAGAATCATAGAACACCATATCACCCATGCACATCTCAAGACTTCAGTCTGCCTCAATCTGAAACATATAAAGCAGTCATGTACAATGCAGTGCTGGCCCCCATTTACAAAGAGATAGCACACCAATAACATCAAACTGGCCTACAAAATGAGCCAACACATCTTTTCTCAGAAGTGCCAAAGACCCACCAGTTTGGCGACATTTTCCCATGTGTATACTTCATCCCCTTGACTGATCATCAAACCAGAAATGGATTGGAGTATGTTGGCAATAACAGCAGGTAGATCCTGCTTAAAAGAACACCAAACAGCATTTCTGGGGATTGCTATTTCATCACATTACCTACTCATGCTTCTGACATGGATGTGGAGGTCTGTTTGGATAGGACAGGGATCTTCTGGTGAATGTCTGACAGTGCAACTCCGCTACCTTGAACTGCTTGAAATATGTAAGGCAGCATTGAGTAAGAAAGCAAAGGATGACAACATGTTCCCCAACCCATGGAAATTTTTCCTACACCACCCATAAACCATGAGTTCATTTGGGGATTGTTTCCCTAATCAGCAACCTCCCAGATCAGAAATGTCTCCAATCAGCAGATGACAAAACATTGGATTCAAATATTCAAACATTGCTGCTTTGTTTTCCAATTCTATAACATGATGCTGTCCAATGGAATGTGAATGAAAATGTTTGTGTAAGTAAAGGATTTTTTACTGGAGTTTAGGCTTATGAATATGGTGACTGAATACAATATATCCAGCATTTAGTTGCCATCTATTACTATATCATTTATTTTCCATACTTCACATCATATTAAGATATAACATGTATGGAAAATAAAAGTTGTAAAGAAAACAGTACATAAAGCAGAAAATAAAAAATATTTAAATAAATCTTTCTATTAAAATTTTAAAACCTAAAATACAAATGCAGTCTTCTTCTAAGATTTAACATATACTATATATGATGGAATATAAATTGATTTCAAGGTTTTCATCTCCAAATTCTGATTTAGACCTATACTGCCATATAAGTTGATTTCCAAATATACAGTAGGCTTTGGTTTTAATAACTTTATAGGAAATATCATTCTTGTTATAAAAAGTAATGTGAAGTTTTTATGAAAAATTTTGGATTTTACTTTGACTTTCCTAATATATTAAATATATTTTTATTTACTTTTAATAATTGATAACTTATCAGCTATTTGAAATAAATGGCTTAATATGAATTTAAAAAACTTTTTAATTATTGTAAAAAGTAGTATATAAATATAAATTATTGATTTTGATATTATTATTACTGCTACATTTCTTGTATTAACTTAAAGTGTCAGAATTAACATATTAATTTTTGAATGATGTTTAAATATCTCTTAGCAGAATAAAGTATAAATTAATTACAAAGTATTACAATTTTCACTTTAATGTTAATTTTTAGGTGGTGACATATCACATAAAAACATTTGGTTAGCAGAATCTATGTTGGATATGTTTGTTGAAAACAGGTATGATATAATTAAATATATAATATAATGTTATAATTAAAGTAATTTTACTATAATATAATTTTAATAATAATAATAAAATCAATATAATTGTGTAATAATATAAATGCAGTAGACTGCCAGATGGCTGAGCAGTCAAGGTGGCAGCCTACCATTCTAGGGACTTGGGATTGAATCTGGATGGGTCGAAAAATTCCCAGAAATTTTTTGGGGGTGGTCCATCCAGATATGTCCATAATGCCACACAGCCACACCATTGTGGGTCTGGCTGAACCCATAATGGGCTTGCTATAAAAGCTCTTAGTGCCCACAGGGCAGAAAGAGTTAAAATATATATGTTATGGACAAAGTGATTAATATGGGCATTATTCATAATGCCCGGTCATTATGAATAATGACCAACAAAATCGGGCATAGTAATAAATTTCAATAATTTATCAAATTGACCGGTCATTATNTATATATATATATAGTTAATTCTACTGAAACATTTCAGAATTTTTTGTTATCGATGATTGAAGATCAACATAAGAGCTTAGAAAAATTTTTTAAAATCACAATATGTATGCTACATACTGTGATCAATAAAATTATTTTTGAAAAAGCAATTAGTTGCTAGTAATTTCTTCGGTTTATTGAAATTTCAAAAGGTTAACAATCAGCAACATCCAATATATAAAAATGAGTTAAAAGAAGCCATTTTAAAATCTTGGAATAAAATTGGCAGTAATATAAAATATAAAATTTATGGAATTGATAAATTGAAGTTGTGATAAAGCATAAAAAGGTGAAATAAAATATTGAAAGTCACTTTGGAATATATAGTTTCAAACTTTTTACTTTGTTCAGAGGTTATAAAAAAAATAATGTAAATTAAGATAGCAGTTGTAGAATAAATTGTTTGTAAAGCTTTGTAAAATTATATAAATTTTAATATATAATTTTAAAATTTAATAACAACATTAAGTGACAGAGCCCTTATTTTGATAAAGCATATAAAGGGGTAAATGGTCTTTGGTTAATGATTCAGTTGAGAGCAAGATCATCATATATACCAGAAATTCTGCTTATAGGTACAGTTTAAATGTCTGATAAATAATTTAAAATATAATTATACAAGAATACAGAAAAATAATAATACAGAATAATACAGTAATAATACAGAAAAATAATTTTCTGTAATATTAATAATTTAGTCATTTATACTTGCTGTTTGGACTGATGAGGAACTGATTCCTATACTAATAAAGCATATACTTTTGAACTTGATCTCTGACTCTTCATCACAACCTACAAGATGAGATAAGTGTATGATTAGCCAACTTTAGACTACATTAGTTAAGCATTAACCCAGACAAGAAAGGAGAATATTTATGTAGAATGTTTCTTGTGATCACTGATGTTGAGAAGTTAAATCTAATTGAAAATATTTTGAAAATTGAAAGCAAATGGCTTCTTGATTCGAGGTTTGATGCATGCTAAAGGATGTATGAAAGGAGAATTATCTTTTTCCATGTATAGAAGAATTAATATTGTTATTATATACATTAAAATTTCAATTTAGATTTCATGTAAATATTTAAATTTCAATGTTGTGATACAATGTTTGTTCAGAGAAAAATATTTAGTAAAAAATTCATTTTATATAGATCTTTAAACCTGATTTTCCACACACAATAAACACACCATTAGGATATTCTTAAAACTGTTCCAATTAATAAGAGTAAAATAGTTGTTAAATGAGAAAAGCAACAGAGTCTGAATTACAGTTTTTACAGTAATGTGAATAATTAAAATGAAAAGAAGCTGGGATCTGTAGATAATTATGTTTAGTTAACACACAGGATTATATATATATATAAAGCATGTATTGTAGTGTTGTATTCAACTATATTATTTCAAAAATGGGTATTAGTTCTTTGTCATAATGTATAATAATTTAGCACTGAGTAAATTGGAATTTGCTTACTCAACAGTAAAATGCACTCATTCACATAAATTTTACATAAAAATATATAATTTATTACTAAAACATTAGATTCATTTACTTTTGTAAAATACGTAAAATTGACCATGTCAGGCAAACTAGGAAAATGTCAACATAACAAAATATTTATTTTAAAGACATTTATAAAAGAATGAAGAGTTCAATTTACAAAGAATAATTAGTGAGATTGCTTCCAAGAACAATGATTTTCTGAAAGAATTGTTTAAATTCAAAGTAGTTTTAAATTTTTGTACTTTATCATATTTAAATGTACATCGAATTTTATATAAATTTAGGGAAACAAATAAAACAATTTTTTGTTATTTTTCTAATAAAATGGAACAGAGTTAAAATTTTGTAAAGCTCTAAAACTAAATTACAATTATTCAAATATAAACATGTCTAAGCCTGATAATTGTATTAAAGCCAAATAATTGCTGAATAGATTGAGCTATATTACTGCTACTATTAATAATTAAATGCTGAGTTATTTGGCCTAGAGGTAGGCATTAGTCATCATTTCTTATTAAATTTAATAATTAAAATTATATTAATATTTATTACTTAATTTAGAAGGTTCTGGAAGAAAAGAATTGGACCAGAGCGGGACTCAAACCTGCAGCTGCCACTTACTGTGTGGATATGTGCAGAATATATATAATAACAATATTAATTCTTCTACTCAGACATCTGTCCAATCTTTGCCTCTAGAATTATTAATTTAGATACAACCGTACTGATTGGTCATATTGCTGACTGTTGACAATTCAGTGTCCACATCCTCTGACTTTCACTATGGCACTTAGCTAGTTGTCACTTTATCCTGGCATGGTGTGTGTATACATACATATACACAAATATAAAGATTTCTAAGCACAATAGTTATTACAGCTCATTAAACTCAGTACAGTAGATCCCCCTATACGTTCCACTTTATAAGAATTTCACATTGTAGGAATCCTTACATACATGAGCCAATCACAGTCTGGCACGTGTGCAGTTTACAGACTACAGCTGTTTGAAAGGTTTTCTTCCAAAAATGAATCGATTCTAGACTAATTTGACTCAACATTTCCAAAACACGTATAATTTTTTGGGAATAATCCATATAAACTATGTTATAAACAAAAAATTATAGCATTACTTACCGAGTGCGCACCGTTTGACGATGCCATTGCTTAAGCTTATTTTTGTTGTGGAGCAGCGCACCGAACAATGGGCACATTTTCTGATAAGTTATTTTTCTTCAAAAAATTCACTGAACTTTGGAGACATCATTAATAGAAGTAATTTTTATGGCTGTTGAATAAGAAATGTTTTTTCACAAGAAATGTATAAAATTACAGTACTGTATTAGACTTACAGTACCTAATTTATATACTGTACAGATGATAGTAAACTCAACTTACCCACCTAAACTCTCTGTAGCGTGTAAGTAGTTCGGCTGCTCGTCCACTATTGGTCCAGATTCAACCAATCCTGTCGTGATACGAGTCAGCAATGATGTTTTACCGCATTTTACAAGTCTCTTTTAGCATCTTTATACGAATATGGTTGCAATTTTTTTGCCACGATATACAAATCCGCATTATATGAACCCGCGTTATAGGGGGGTCGACTGTATATATAATTAAGCCAAACAATTGCCAGATAAGATTTAACTATATTACTGCTACTATTAATAATTAAATACTAAGTAATTTGATCTTTGACCTAGTGGTTTAAGTTTTGCTCTTAGTCAATTTTTTTCTTCCAGACCCTTTAAATTAGTTAATAATAATAATATTAATAATTTAATTTTAATTATTAAATTTAATAATTGATGGACCTAATGCCTATCTCTAAGACAAATTACTTACTATTTAATTATGAATAGTAATAGTAATATACCCTGATCTAATCCAGCAATCATTTGGCTTTAAATTACAATTGAACAAAAGTCATGAACCAGGAACACGTTTGTAAAAAGTGAACAAATGAACAAAAATAATTGGACATATATATATATATAATATTATTATATATATATATAGTTAATTCTACTGAAACATTTCAGAATTTTTTGTTATCGATGATTGAAGATCAACATAAGAGCTTAGAAAAATTTTTTAAAATCACAATATGTATGCTACATACTGTGATCAATAAAATTATTTTTGAAAAAGCAATTAGTTGCTAGTAATTTCTTCGGTTTATTGAAATTTCAAAAGGTTAACAATCAGCAACATCCAATATATAAAAATGAGTTAAAAGAAGCCATTTTAAAATCTTGGAATAAAATTGGCAGTAATATAAAATATAAAATTTATGGAATTGATAAATTGAAGTTGTGATAAAGCATAAAAAGGTGAAATAAAATATTGAAAGTCACTTTGGAATATATAGTTTCAAACTTTTTACTTTGTTCAGAGGTTATAAAAAAAATAATGTAAATTAAGATAGCAGTTGTAGAATAAATTGTTTGTAAAGCTTTGTAAAATTATATAAATTTTAATATATAATTTTAAAATTTAATAACAACATTAAGTGACAGAGCAATTTCTTTGTTTACATTTTTCAGTCATTATATTTGATTTAATTAAATAGTTGTGATGACTAAACTTTTTCTAAAGATTATATTTAGCTTAGAATATAGTTCTGTATTTTTAAATGCTTTGAAAAATTTTAATATTTAGATGTTGGTTTCATTTTATTATATATTTACATTAATAATTATTTGCTTGTCAAAATAAAAATGATTTAATATATTATTTAAAAATATAATCAATTTAAGAATATTTTGAACACACTATATATAATTTTATGATTTGATGATGATAATTAAACAACTATATAAAAATCTATTATGAAAATTTTACAAAATGTTTTAATGGATAAAAAATCATTTTTATTTATCAATATGTTACTTTATTTTTAAATTATTGATTCATTTCTTAAATGTTTTTTTTATATATATGTGCATTTATTTAGTAATAATTTGTTAATTATTATGTGAATATTTAAAAAATTTTGTTTGGTTTAGTATATAAAATAGATTCTAATAACAACATACATAATTCATTTATGTTCTTTTTTTGTATTAATAGACTCTTATTATAAGGTTAGAGGCATGTGTGTGTCTGTTTCTGTGTGTCCATGTTTTATTAATGAGTATAACTTAACATTTTGAGTAGAAACTATTAATTATTTTTTTAGAGCTTGGGTTGAAAGGAATCCTGTTTTACTTGCTACTATTGTTTATACATACCTTCGCCTTATTGTGGACCATGGATGCCAATCTTTATTAACTTTAAGGCAACGAGAAGTAGACTTTTGTATTTTATTACTAAGAGAAAGGGTAAGAATTTAATAAGAAAATAATGTTTTATATTATCTATAGACATTTGATAATATTTTCTTTTACAGAAGTTATTTTTAAAAATATTTTATTAGTAATATTTATTTTCAAATGTAAAATGTATTAACCAGATAAGATCTTTAATATAGTATAATTTTAAAACAGTTATAGCATACATTATTAAATACATTTTTATACTAGAAGTTAAATGCAATTTTCTAAAATGATATGAACTTTTTACTTTTCTAATGAATTTGCTATTATTTGTAGTTTTATTACAAAATATGATTCAGCTAATTCAGTCTACCAATAAAAAATTTCATAATTGAGTGATTTTATTTTCTATTAATTAGGATGAACTTTCATATATTGTTTAATGTCTTTAATTGAATGTTATCTTGTATCTGTACAATAAAATATTAAAAATAATGCTATTTTTCATACCATTGAAAATTTCAATATGATACAAAGTTTATTTTAAATATTGAAAATGATTTTTTTAAGAATATAAACATATTTATGTAATACACTACATTAAATAAGTAATAATTAAAAGTTTTAATTGTACAGAAAAATTTATTGAATATTTTTATTATCTTCAGTTACCTTCAATTAACTATGGTATTTGAATTAATATAAATAGGTAGTTTAATATTATTTCTTAATAAAATATGTATTTATGTTTTTATAGTTTGTTGAATGTATGATGATTGGTCGAGATTTAGTGAGGCTGTTACAAAATGTTGCAAGGATACCAGAGTTTGAAAGGCTATGGAAAGATATTTTATATAATCCTTCATCTTTAGCATCAACTTTTACAGGCAATTTATTTATTTATTTATTAATAATTTGAAATTAAATTTTAAGCTAATTTATTTTTATTATAAACAATGAAATATTGATTTATAAGTTAATGTTTTAATGTTATATATGATATGTAATTGCAATTATTTTATAAAAATTATATTAACATCATTAAACTTAAACAGTTTCTTTACTCTATGTTTGAATTTGTGAGACAAATTCTATGTGATAAAAATAAATTTTTTAATTTTTTAAGAATTAATTTAAAATAAAAATTTAAAATATATTAGTTATTTTTATTAAAAAATAAAAAAATATCTTTACTAATAATATAGAATAATTTGAAAATAAATATTTAACATCCTATTGAAGAAAAGTTTTAGATTTCAATTTTTATTAAATAATAAATTGAATTCTACAAATTATCAATTATAGAAAGTGCTTATTAATATTTTTAATTCATTTGATATTTTTTAAATATTAAACCTTTATTTGAAATATCAAAATTTTTAAGGGCTTAGAATTAAAGTTTTACAGTTATATTATGTTTTAATAATGCTATAATGTAATGTTAAATTTAAAATAATATTTTAAATTCCAATATATTATAGTCATATTTACTTTAAATTATTTATTTTATTATATAAATCATATTAGTTTTGCCATGGATAAAATTGTTTTTTGTTAAATTATAAGAATAGATTATGTCAAAAACAATAAATTAAGTTTCTTTCTTGATTAAAGTATTGATATAAAAAAACTGGACTAAAAGTTTAAATTTATGTGATTATACATACATACGTACGTACATACATACTGTGCCATGCAAATATATGGAAAAATCCACCACTTGTGTACTTATTTTTATTTTATTTTTTTTTCTACATCAACAAATTGGGATTTATGATGCCCATCATTTTTTTTGAGTGGGGCTAGTGTACTAGCAGAGCTGATTAGAATACACTTGATTTGCTGTTGTTGTATTACATTATTTCATTTCTCTATATGTTATAAAATACTTCTCTTATAGCATGTTTATAAATTATACTTTATGCAAATTTCTTTCTACATAGTCACACTGGGTTACCATTTGATTACACAAGTTTGCACTTTCTATACTTACATTATAGAATATAGTTTCTGGACAACCTTCACCAATTGCTTCTGGACAATTTTCACTCTTCTCATCTGTCTTCAGCTTCCTCTCGATGGTATTGATGATTTGGCAGTTACTCATAAATTTCACATCTTTCCACTTTATAGCAAGCATACCATTCTGTATGCAAGAAAAACTGCTGCTTTCTTTCAAGTTTTTCATCTAGAATTGGTGTATTTTTCTGTTCTTGTTGAATGACATTACACAAGCAAATGGGAGTTCTTCGATCAGATGAACACTCATAAAACATTGTCAAAGCACAGAGCTACATCACATTTACAAATTCCTTCTGCCAGTTTCAATACAACTCTTTTATGCAAACTTTCTTTATCAATGACTTTCTACCACAATAGACATTCAAATTACATACATACCTTGTTGTTGATTTACATCTCAGCCAAAATTTTATCTTTCTTTTTGCAGGTTTTGAAGGCATATATTATTTCAGGGTTGATTTTTTCTTAAACTTGGTCATACTCTCATCAATACTTTAAAAGGACTTCAGTTTGTACATGCTAGAAACTCATCTATATAGTATGTTTTACTTGAATTTGCTGATTTTTCTGGATTGTTTATGCATATATTTGAAAAAAGCTTTTAAGCATCTGTCTTGTGATATTGCTTTTTTTTTTTATGGCTTTGTTTCCTATTGACGACTTCTCAGACCAATAAGAAGTTAAATCTGGATGATGATTGTATGGCAAGACTAATATTGTTTCCAGCACAATTTTCATTTCACTGGGGTCAGTATCTGGCTTATGAGTCTTCTCGTTTTATTGGTATACTGACTTTTCTTCTTTGGCCTTAGTCCTGCTTAACAGCTGGGTTGGCACATTATTGGTATACTGACTGATAAAAGTAATAAGACTCTGTGGAAAAATTGAAATGACTTGGAGCTCTGGTTTATGTTGGCCATAATAATACATGGTAGTGGATGTGGTATAGTTTTTCTGGATTAAAAATTAGATGTCATACTACATCAAAACATAATTAAGAACAAGATGAGTAGAATTCAATGTGCTGACTTCATACTTCATCACTTGATGAGTGCAAAGTATACTTCATCACTTGATGAGTGCAAAGTATGGATGGAATTTGCTACAGCTTTCTTCATAAATGGCTGTCATAGTAACTTTATGAGAAAGATGAGCTATTTTTAAATCAATTTTCACTGTAAAAGTGAATAAGAACATAAAGAGTCCTAAAAGAATGTATGCAAATACAACTGATGGGATACACTTGTCTCAATGCACAATAAAGTAAACAATAATTTGGATAATATAAGTGAAAAGTTACTTCAAACTAAAATGAAAGTGAATGATCCACGATCTTCAAAATTGTTCAATTTCTTATGTTAAAAATTAAATTGTTGATGCTCTAGAACTAAAAAACCAGCATTTGTCAAAATAAAAAGCTTGTAGCCTGTGGTTATATTTGTAATTGTCGACGTTGCCATTCGGATGTTGAAGTAAATATTCAGAAAGACTGAAGCAGTATAAAATAATGCAAGTAGGGGATTAACAAGTATATTAACCAACCAACAGGGCTTAGAAACATTTATTGGGATGTAAATATCACAATAGGACCAAAAGGGTTAATAAAAATTTTATTTGGAGAAATTTTATATTATTATTTAATATTTTGACTATCAGTTGCTTATAATTTATTTTAAAACAACAAAATAAACAAACAAAAACAATGCTTTCTTTATATAATTTAAAAAGTTATTTATAATTAAATGCTGTGAAAAATATAAATAAAATTCCATTGCCTGATATTGAAGTGCAGTTAATTGTGATGATTGTTAGGCATTTTAGAAGATGAGAAATTCTTTGAAATGAAGCTTGAGGAGATCAAGGTGACAAACTGAAGATGTTGAAAAAAACATTTGAAATAAAGGCAATGACAAGGCACTAGAAGATGTAATTTAAATTATAAAGCCAGGACTAACATTCACTACCACACATAAATGGAAGGACATATATGATGTTACTGACTGTTTTATAAACATTGATCCAGTCACTTAATGTATTTTAACTTTAAATGAGAATTAGAAGCCCTATAAAGAAATCCAAAAAGATTAGAAAAAAGAACAGCATTCTATTCTTAGTTTTTTTAAAGATTGTAATAAAGTATATACTGAATTAATTTGAAATATATTTTAGGTTTTTATTTCATATCTTATGATTTAGAAAAGTTTTAATTTTTCTGTTGAATTTTTGATGTAAAAGTAAATATTTTATTATACAAAGTCATCATTTAAAAATATAACAAAATATTTTAAAATATAAATAAAAATTTGATAATTTGAAACTGATACAATATTGTATTAGTTTCAAATTAATTATTGTTTTAGTAATAAAGTATAATTTTAAACAGATTAAAAGTCTAAATGATACATTGCGTTGAAGCAAAATTATCATCAGACTGATACAAAAGCCTTCATTTTAACTATTTTTTTTTAACCCTATAAGCATTATGAGGGCTTTTTTTTTCAATACCCATTATGGGTTTGAACAAGTCTGCAATGGGTAGTTGGATGATGTGGGAGAGGGCCCAGCATATCTGAGACTGTAACCAGCCATGAAAATTTCTGAAAAGTTGCTTGCTTGGATTCACTTGTAGTAGAACACTGAAATGACACCTTGATGGTTTCAGTGATCTGGCTATCTAATAGAGAAAATTATTAATCTCTCTTTCCATCAAGTTTTAACAATACAGTTGTCCCTCTATAGTCCGACGTTTTTTAATCCGACATGCTCAGTAGTCCGACGCACCTCCCGTCAAGGTACCCGTCCCTGTTACGTGTCTGCTTGCACAGAAGCATGTCGCGATGTGAATCTCCCCATCCAATTTTTACACGATGACACACATTTTGTGTGTTTTATGTGAGCAGTTCTGTTCGAACAGTTGGAGTAGAGAATATTGTAAGTTACTGCTAGCAAAACAATGCGAAATATGTAATTATTTTCGGTAATCCGGACACTTTTGGTAATCTGACACACCTTTGGTCCCATACCTATCGGATTATCAAGGGACAACTGTATTTTATTTCTTATTATTTGAGTGTGGATCAGTTCAATGTCAGTCATAGTATAAATGTATAAAAATATGGAAACTCAAATGAAATACAAAATAAGATAATATAAGTTGTTCTATACTGAAAAATTATGATTGCCTTTATCTAATGCTATTTGTAAATTAAGCTTTGAATTCAGTTAATATAAAGAATGTACTTTTTTTATTTAATGCATTATTTAATCATCATATTTAGCATTAAATTGTTTTTATCATAAAAATGTTTATTTTTAATGTAAGTCATAAAATTTTATTTTTAGGTGTTTTACAATTATTACAATCTCGAACTTCTAGAAGATTTCTTCAATCAAGGTTAACTCCTGATATGGAAAGGAAAATATGTTATTTAACATCCCAAGTAAGTAAAATTTAAATGAATGGAAGATTCTTAGTATATCATATATGAATAAAAATGATTTTTATTTGAATAAAAGGTACAATTAGAAAATTCATTTATTTTAATAAACCAGTAGTTATAGAAAGAATAACAAACTATAAGAAAATAACAACGAGAAAGATTTGAAATACATTAGAATAAAAACATTCATTCCAGATTAGTTTTATTAGTGATATACATAAGTCTTTTGTATATATTATAGACATATTGTTATAAAAGAGTGAGCATGTATTTGAGAATGTACTACTAGTTACAGTGATAAATAGCATATATTGTTGGTACCTTTTATAATTTATTATTATAATTAGTCTCTTTACCATAAAAGTTAAGCTTTATATTTTCTGAAAATCACTAGTCCTAACTTTTGTTAACTTCTACTCCTTAGTTTTTACTGCAGATACTTTTAAAAAAGAAAATAATTATGAAAAATTTTCATAATTATTTTCTTTTTTAAATTTTTCATTGAATAATACATTTAAATAAATACATGGCATTGTGAAATATTAAACTACTTTGGATTGAACCAAAGAAATTCATATAAATAAAACAAAATTTCTTTAATATTTTATAATGTAAATTTATATTGAACACTTATTAATAAAAAAAAAAATTATTTAAATTATAGCATACTGGATTATTTGTTTGAAATTTTCAGATTAATTTCAAAAATTCTATATTATAATAAATAAAGTAAGTTATTCAAAATACACATCTATAATTAGAAAATTTCTTATAATATTAACTGTGAATAAAAACATTTTATTTAATAATAATAATTAATTATATAAAAGTATGTTTACTTAATATTACATCATATCTGAATTCATAAAACATGAATAGATAAAATGAATAGTTTACTTATAAAGACTAAAAAGTAATAATAAGAAATAATGATAGGAAGTAAAAATAATTAAAATTATGACTTTTATATTTTAAATGAATAGAAAAATTATTTTATTTAAAAATACAAAAGTGAAAATTCAAGCTTTGCATGATTTGCATAATTTGATTTAGATTGTATCAAGATTTTATTTTCATTGACAAGTTATAAAAGTACAATTGAAATGGTAAATACAAAAAAAAAAAAAAAATACAAGCTATACTTCAATTCTTTTCAAGTTTAATGTTATTATCAGGAAGATGGCTTCTATAATTGAATAGAATGACAAGATTGTACTTGAAAGCACTCAAAGCTGCTTCCTTTTTTTATGTTTGCTGTTTCAGTTGTATTACCTCTTATGAAGGATATTCATTTAAATTTATTTTAATGGCATTTTTCCTTTCATAACTTGATTAAACAGTTTAATATTCTAACATATTAAATTTTAATTTGAATTTTTTTTATAGGTGAAATTTGGTCAACAAAAAAGATATCAAGATTGGTTTCAAAGACAGGTAAATCTTTAGTATTATCATATTTTATTTTGCTATAATGATAACAGTTATATTTTAAAATAAATATCTGTTTAAATGTAGAAAAACGAATAATTTAAACAGTTTATATAAAAAATTAAATGGACTATTTTAAAAGATATTAAGTATTATTTTTAAAAATTAAAAATGACATAATATTGAATTAACTTTTAATTTGATAAATTATGATAGAACATTTGAATTTTGATATTAAATTATGATAAATGTAATGCCTGAGAAATTTTCTTCATTGAAATTGTTACTTGTACTGTAAAAAATAATCTCAATAAGAATTAAAAATATATTTAAATATGGTTCTGTTTGTGATTATCTGTAAAAAATTTTTCAAGAAATTAATATTTAAAAAAAAAATCTTGCTGACTTTATATAACAAGGTCATGAGCAATATGAGGTTCTTTTGTATGTTTAATACTGATAATAGTTATAGAAATATACATAAAGTCAAATATTTATCTTAAATGATGGTGACGAAAGAAAAAGTTAGATTCTCAAATTTCATATAACTGCTTTACAGTTACAATAAATATATAAAATTATAATATATCAGTGTCATAATGAAATTGTTATTTATTTTATATAGCCATATAAATTATATCTGACTGTGGTTTTATGGCACTTGAACTCTGTGCCTATAAAATACAGCTTTCTTCTTTAGTAAGGTTAGCCACACCTCTTATAACATTTTAAACATAAAATATAAGAGGACACTTATCTATTCATATGATTTTTTAGAACTGCCATTTATCTTTCAGATGTGACACTCAATATTGTTTTAATATTTTCATTAAAATAATCTAATATAAACAAGTAAAAATAAATAAATAAGATAAATTTTTTTGATAATTATTACCAATTAATGAAAGCATAAAATATTAGATATGGAAAGTATTTCTCACTAGTGTCTGAGTTATGAATATTTATTTGGATTAAAAATATGTTCCAGTGGAACAGTAAAACTAAAAAATATTAATGCACAGGTAAAATTTTAATATGTCAGTGTCAATTTTAAAATTGTAACAATTAAAGAAAATTTATATTTGGAAACAGTATTAAAGAATAAATAAGCAGAAATAAAAATGAAACAGAAAACTATGAATTATGAGAAAAACACTCTTTAAGATATTAAAATGCAAACTATTAAAACAAAATAAAAATTACATTCAAATACTTTACTTTTTTTTATGAATAACACCACCAGGATTTATTACTACAAAAGAATAATAGTAGAATAAATATTTGAATTTATATTCAAATTTACAAAAATATTGAAATGCAAAAACATATTTAAAATAAATATGTAGAATAATGTACAATTTGTAAAAACATTATTAAACATTTAGTTTTTATATGTTTAAAGTATAAATTGCATATTTAAAAGTACACATATTACTTTAGCATATTTCCCAAAGTTAAAAGTTTATAATTCAAGTTATACAGAAGTATAATTAATAGATAGTAAAATTACAAGTCATTTAACAATTATTAGTATTATATAATAGATAAACTGGGGAACATAACTCTTGCTACAATAACAGTGAATATTAAGTTCTTAGCAATACTGTAATAGATCTTCACTGTTGAAAATTTTCAACAATAGAAGTCAATTTTCAGAAAGAGAAAAGATGAGAGTTTTAGAAATTATTACAGATTTCAATCAGCAGACTTTAGTTACATTGCACATGTTCAGCTAATCACACAATATATTTGGCATCAAAGTGTTATGACAAAATTTTTAAGGAGTCATGCATATTTTCTGATACAATACAGAAAGCTATAAATAGCTCATTAAATGGAATTAAATGATATTGATGAAATAGAACTTGCTGATCCAATGAGTTATTCTAAAACATAGTGTTAAGTGCTATTTTAATGAGGATTCATGAAACAGATTATAAGTCAATTGGATAATATAATTGTTTTAATGTAACAATAAATTTATTACTTTTACAGAAAAAATTCTCAAAATGTATGGTGCTAAATATAGTTTTTTGATAGACAATAACAATCAGATAAATTATTGAATAGGGTGATTTGACACTTTATAAATTTTGTTCGGTAGTAATATTTAATTTTTGCCTAATTCTTATCTGCTTAGTCACATTTAATTATTTTTATAATGAATTTTGCTATGTCAAATGAACTCAAACTTCTAATAGCTAATAAACAGTAATATTTATTATTATATCATAAAATTGCTATTTATTATTAATGTCAATCATGCTCTAGAAATGATGATGAAACTCTAAATATTTTTATCTAATTATGAAAACAGAAATAAAAAAAAATGTTCTGAATTTTTGTCTTATTTTCTCACAGCTCTTCATACCTCTCTTCAGCTTATTCTGTGTCGCAAAGTATCCTGTATATTACTGAAAACACAGTTGACATTGGTAAATTTATCGAGAGTAATATTTGTTAAAGTTTTAAAATTCACACTAACTTCTCTTAATTATATTGTAGGTAATGCTCCTACACTACTTATGATAGTTAGGTAAAGCAACAAGAGAAGTAAAGCACTTCAGACTGAACAATATCCTGGATGGGTTCTAAATGCTTACCTTCAGATAGATGGCTTGAAATTCTAAGCTTATCACCATTTAATCAGTGAGGTATGAAGAATGCCAAACCATCCATTCCTCACTTAAGTCCATATGTAGTAGTAGTATATGATAATGACAGTGGCAAATTGTTATTGCTATAAATTGGTATATATTTCATTTTGATTTATATTAAAAATGATAAGTGTTAAACACTAATTGTCAGTTTAGTTAATAAAATTAAAAGAAAAAAATTTTTTTGATTGGATTTGTCAAATTTTTGATTATTTTTTCTGTTCTATTGGGAGTTAATGACAATTTCTGAGTGTTACATCTGATGGTCTAAGAAAATGGTAAGATTATATGGAATAGGTAAGTGTAATTTTATGATGTAATAAATTTTTATTGAAATTTTTAGTTACTGCTCTAGAACATAGAAGGTGAATTAGATGGCCAATATAGATATAATAATTTTAAAAAAAAGTAAAATACACTGAGTACAGTGTCAGCAGTCGTTTATTTTCGCTAGTGCTTTCAACAAACTTGCATTCATCATCTTCAGGCAAACAAAATTTAAAAATATAATACAATGTTCTAATACAAATGGAACACATATTTAAATTGAAATTCAAAACTGTTATGAGATGAGTGTATTCAAAATTCGATTACACTAGAATGTTGTAACATCATGCAGCACGTGTGGATATATACTCAGGTTAAACATGTGATGGCAGATGTATATCACCATTTAATTGTTTATATAGGGCAGGGGTGGCAAACCTATGGCACGCGTGCCCAAAGTGGCACATAAGAAGAAATCATCTGGCATGTAATGTATTATATGATTTCTGTCTTTTTCAATCATCTTTTCGGTTTATCACCTGATTATCCTTTTTTCAATCAGCTTTTTTACATTTACAGTAGAGCGTCAAATATCCGAATCAATTGGGGAATGGGGTTTTTCGGAAGATCGATGTTTTGGATAACCGATTATGTACGAAAAAATATATTAATTTATCCCATCTTGACATTTTTTTCCATTGCATGTCGCTTCGTGTTGAATTTTCGTCGATGTTAAGCTTAACGAAGACTACTGTATCGTTAAAAATGATTTTTTTATTTTGTACAAACAAAATAAATATATTGAAAAATATAAAAACAATAAAAAATTATACTTCAGAAGTTAATTTAGTATCAAAAACGTAAAATATTNTATTATAGTCATATTTACTTTAAATTATTTATTTTATTATATAAATCATATTAGTTTTGCCATGGATAAAATTGTTTTTTGTTAAATTATAAGAATAGATTATGTCAAAAACAATAAATTAAGTTTCTTTCTTGATTAAAGTATTGATATAAAAAAACTGGACTAAAAGTTTAAATTTATGTGATTATACATACATACGTACGTACATACATACTGTGCCATGCAAATATATGGAAAAATCCACCACTTGTGTACTTATTTTTATTTTATTTTTTTTTCTACATCAACAAATTGGGATTTATGATGCCCATCATTTTTTTTGAGTGGGGCTAGTGTACTAGCAGAGCTGATTAGAATACACTTGATTTGCTGTTGTTGTATTACATTATTTCATTTCTCTATATGTTATAAAATACTTCTCTTATAGCATGTTTATAAATTATACTTTATGCAAATTTCTTTCTACATAGTCACACTGGGTTACCATTTGATTACACAAGTTTGCACTTTCTATACTTACATTATAGAATATAGTTTCTGGACAACCTTCACCAATTGCTTCTGGACAATTTTCACTCTTCTCATCTGTCTTCAGCTTCCTCTCGATGGTATTGATGATTTGGCAGTTACTCATAAATTTCACATCTTTCCACTTTATAGCAAGCATACCATTCTGTATGCAAGAAAAACTGCTGCTTTCTTTCAAGTTTTTCATCTAGAATTGGTGTATTTTTCTGTTCTTGTTGAATGACATTACACAAGCAAATGGGAGTTCTTCGATCAGATGAACACTCATAAAACATTGTCAAAGCACAGAGCTACATCACATTTACAAATTCCTTCTGCCAGTTTCAATACAACTCTTTTATGCAAACTTTCTTTATCAATGACTTTCTACCACAATAGACATTCAAATTACATACATACCTTGTTGTTGATTTACATCTCAGCCAAAATTTTATCTTTCTTTTTGCAGGTTTTGAAGGCATATATTATTTCAGGGTTGATTTTTTCTTAAACTTGGTCATACTCTCATCAATACTTTAAAAGGACTTCAGTTTGTACATGCTAGAAACTCATCTATATAGTATGTTTTACTTGAATTTGCTGATTTTTCTGGATTGTTTATGCATATATTTGAAAAAAGCTTTTAAGCATCTGTCTTGTGATATTGCTTTTTTTTTTTATGGCTTTGTTTCCTATTGACGACT